CGTTGCTGTCCTAATTTAGGATCTTCTTTTTAATAAATTCTTGAAAATATTAAAAAAGAGAGAGAGAGAGAAAGGGGCCAGGCAAGAATGTTTGCCCCGGGGTCCGTGCTGGCTCTCGATGTTCCTGGACCTAAATGAATCCTTGTTGACCTCATGCTATGTACAACCTCAATAAGTGCTTAACATTCAAGTGCTCATTTGCAATACTTTTTATTCCTTCTGTCACTACTTGAGCTGTATATCAACATAAGTTTAAGCCTATCTTAGATTATACAAAATACAACTTCTATAGGATATTACAACTTTATGTATGTATTGTTTGATTCAATTAAAAGCATTTTGACACAACAAAAACCTATCTGACTAAACACATAATTATAACTAAAAAAATTTTAAAATATGGACATATGTATTTGGAATTAAAGGTATATGTAACCCAGTTTTTGAAAACATTCTCCCTGTATCACTCACCAAGACTCATAAATGGAGCCTCTCGGGATTTCCTAGCAAGTTTTTGGGTTTGAGATTCTCCTTCAAACTGACTTGGATCAAAAATAGGTTTGGCAGGAGCCACAACAGCATTTTCAGTGTTAGTCATTGTTTTCTATAAGAACAAAAAATATATAAAGGTTAACTCTGGACTATAGTTAAAATAGACATTCAGTTTAGCAACATACAATAAAGGTTGGAGATGGCTTGAATGGATAATGAAGAAAAACTTTAATATAAGTTTAACATAACAGCAAATGCACAACGTTTCGACAAGGTTTTGTCATCATCAAGTACAAGCCATCTCCAACCATTATTAGTCTCAAAGTGGGCTACTAGTCATCGAATTTGAATATACAATAAAGGTTAACTCCGGAATCTAGTTTATTTTAAGATAGACATTTAGTTTAGCAATATATAAAGAGGTTTTGCATTTTAAAAAAATAATAAGTTACAACAGAATTCCTTGTTCTTTTGTAATCAACATGTTATTAATCTTTTCAATATGGTAAAATTTCTTATGTTATGGTATACTAACTTTCCTAAGTCCTATTTACAAATGAATATTCTTCAACTGTAGTACTATGATAATACAATAATCCCTTTGCTTAGGTACATAATGTTACAACAGCGGAAGTCACGTGACGCTGCTAGCACATGCATCAATGACTTTCTCGAATTATTAGGGAACTCCTCGAATTTTGGCAAACCCTCTTCTTTAGTATATAAGCATGGAAGCGGAGGCCAGAGGAGTAATATAAAGCTTGTGCCTTGCACTCGTTGCGAAGTTATCGAGATTGTCAATCGCTGTGATTTATAGCGTGTATTAAACGTACTGACTGTGGAATTACCGTGTACTAAAGTTTGTATTGCGAAAGAATAAACTGGTTTAATC